TTCCTTTTTTTTTTTTTTTTTTTTTTTTTTGCATTTCCTTTTTTGAGAACAGTTCATGGAATGAGAAGAAAATATTGTTGATATACAAATAAAAGTCATCTTAGTCGTTGATTGGTATGTGATCTCATGTTGTATGTGTTCATGGTAATGGAGATGATATTAATCATTAGTTGCTAACATTTGTTAAATTTTGTTTGTCAATATTGTAAGGTTTAATGTGTTCGTTCATATACTGTTCTGCTTATTCTTAAAAAATAACCAGGTGAGTATCCCTTAAAATATAGACATGAGATAACGTTGAAAATTGGTTGAAATGAGTACGAAGTTTGGAAAAAATAAAAAATTTAGGCTTAAATGTTATTTGATATTATAATATGAATTTTATGAATAATTAGAAAGAAAGAGTCTTGATAGTAAGATTAAAAAACAATAATTGTCCGTCTTCCAGTAAACGGTATCGACGGAAAACAAAGGATGCTCAAGAATAATCAAGGTACGTATGATTGGTCTACACTGGCCGCTGAAAATACTCAGGCAGTTACATGAAGCAAATCAAGTGTTATTGGGAGGGTTGGGTCACACGGTGTATTTCGAATGAATATTGGAGAAGGAACCAATCCGATAAGAAGGAATAAAAATAACAATGAACGTAGTCTTTTTCCCAAGACACCCGTGCTATCCCGAATGACCTCCTCTCACCTAGACCTCCTCCAAAAAGTAATGTTCTCTACCCCTTTTGCTCCTATTTCATCAAAGTCGCCCAAGCAAAAGAGGAGAAGAAAGGTGAGGTCATCAACGGTTTGGCCGACCTCAATCACTAGGAATGACTCTTCCTAGATCCACGACCTTCGAGGCTGGCTGGGGGGAGGTGCGGTACGCCGCATAGACCCATTTATGAGGCGGTGCAATGATGTTGCGGTGGAGCCAACGCCTACTTCTGAGATCCAGGCCTCGTGCCTGGGCAAGGAGGACGGGTGCCACAGACTACATCCTAGCGGTTAGGACTCGGGCAGGTTGAGGAAGACTTTTGCCCTTCTTCGATTTTTTTGTGAACGGTGACTGACTCAGAATACCCAAGGTTGGCCGCAAGTTGGAGCCGCCTCTATTGAAAGCGATTGGAGTAAAAAGAAACTTCATTCCCAATCACAACTTATACGAACAAGAAAGTGAGCCCTGTCGAGGAATGACAAAGGGTAAACGTGGATAAATGAGGTACGTATAACTCGATCTCATGGGGCCCTGAAAAGACTAAGGGGCATGTAGGGAAAAAAAAAACATCTAAAAAACAAATTATCGATTTTTTTACGAACACATAAAAAAAAAAATACAACGCACGGATAAAAAAGAAAAAATACTATTCGTCATCAGTTGATTAAGCTTCATTTCCCTTAACATAAACATTTAAAAAAAAGAAAACAAAATAAAGAACGTGAACTCAACGTTTTCCTCTGTTCGTTTTTCATTTTGTGTTTTGCCAACTTCGTTTATCCTTTGACTATATTTCTATCTTTTTTTAAATGCTTTACCCTATATTTTTTTTCTTACTACGATAATTACATCTGTATACAAACATTCAGAGATATATATCATCCAACTGATTTTTATATCTTTCATATTTCTCATATCCTTTGATTTTTACGTTATAATTTTACGTTATAGCCGTCTAAAAAGATATGCATGTACGCCCGTTTAAATAGCGGGGGATGAGAGCATAGATAAGGATTCACGCGACATTGATTTATTTGCCGCTCCAAACTCTTCTTCGTCTGCCGACAGGTCCTTGTACGTTCCATGGAAGCGTCGAAGACGCCTTCGCCGTTGTGAAAGACCTGTTATCGCTTCTTTGTTGTCTTCTCCAACGATACCGAACTTTGATAACTCTCCTACCATTGATTCCGCTCAAGTTCATTTCCCTTCGTTACAATTTTTTTTTTTTTCGTCGAATGATGGATTACGATTGCGTGTACGTTCGGATATTACTCGCTGTCCCTTTACGACTGAAACACAGGTGTCATCAAAAGATGAACACCGCAAACGTGGTCGACCAACCTTCCCGGAGTCGTCGGACTCGAATGTCTTTACTACAACCGCTAGGTGCTATGGGTGATATGACTGCTGACAGAAGGGACAAACAACCGATGATAACTTTTGATCGCGGCCTTGATTGTTCTGTGGAAGAACAATGTAGTGATAGATCTTTATGTTTCCAATAATCGATTCCATTGTTGGATGGTATCGCAAACCCTCAGTTTTTTCTCCGCAGGAGTCAAAAAATGTTAATATTCATACGAGTCAGATTCGTTGTCAAGGAAACCTGCCTATCACCTTGTGAAGTGCACGACCTGATAAAAAATTTACGCATGATGCAGTCCGTACAAATTTTGTTCCTACGATCGAAACAACCTTTCCAGTTCATGATTCTTCCTTTCATTCGTCACATGTACAAAACGGTTCGTCGTCCACATTCACAGAAGATGTGCGACGAAGATGTGTGCAACCTAATCTTTATGCTTCCATCGCAACTGTTCATGCACAGGCATGCGCTTCTCTCAGAAGATTGCCAAATTCCCCGAACGCAATGGTTAGGAAGTTTGTTGGATTTCCTAATCGTTGAAGGAGATTGACAATATTGAAACCGATTCGTTCGAGCCACAAAAGACGATATCGTATGTTGTGTTTTCGGGCACTGCGCACCGGTAAAGTCACGCGTCGTTTGAACCTTGAATCATTGTCGTCCGTACGTCGGCCCGTGTTCCCTGACTTTTATGCATATGTGGGAGTTGTTGAAAGTACAGTGGCCGGTGGCTGTGGAACAGAACAAGTCCATACGATGAATGACGATGAACCGGCGTCTACATCGTATGGAATTTCCACTCGAAAGAAGAGGCTTCAAAGATGGGCAAGCCGTCACATTAAACGCATGCGTGTATTGAGAGATGCAATTAAGAATCGCAGGAGGAAAGACGATATGGATGCTCACAAACGTTTTTTGCGGGGTGTGAGATAAAGTTTGGCCCCTGTAAATATCCTTCGAGAGATTCGAGTAACCACCTCTGGCCAGTCGCGGGGTGCATCTTCTTCATCGAAGGAAACGCATCGTCATTGTTCTCGACCGAGGCAATCCCGAAGTATGTCGGGGAGAGTGGAGCAGTCGCACAATCCGTCCGTTGTGATTCAAAATTTAATGAACAATCGGGAACATGGTGAGCCGGTATAGGGCCAAACCCCGGTAGACTTCCGAGCCTTAGTCAACCCCACTGCGGGTCCCAGTTGGCTCAGCCCGCCCACACTCATGCTCAGGGCGCGGGCCATTCGTCCTTAGGTCACCCCCACCTAGTGCTTTGAGATGGATGGGGGTGGGCCATCGCGCGAGAGAGCTTTGACATTGGGGATGTAGCTCAGCCCTCACGCCGGATGGTAGTCTCGCTAGTCGTTCCGCGACGCTGATTTTTTTTTATTCCTTATTGTGTTCTCAAGCAACTGCTCCTCTCAATACGCAGGCAGTTCAGGGGTTCTTTGAGCCTTTCTCTTCTCTTGTGCGTAGGCTAAGCGTCATCCTTAGGCCACGCACCATTTCCCTAAGCATTTTGGCTATATGGCGTCATCGGGGTGCGGCGGGGCCGTTCTTTCCCTCGACTCTATGCATCCGTCGGATCTCTCAATTTGCTTCCCACCTTATTGAAGTTGGACCCTTAGTCTTTTCGGGGTCCTCATATGCATGCACACACAACATCACTTTTTCCTTGGCAAGACAGCACTCCCATTTGCACCCCAAGTCTTCAAACGCACAAGTCATATCCATGGGGTAGTTCTATGTCAAGGGTCCCATAGCCCCTACGCCCTCTTCCCTTTCCCTCTTGATGCCCGATTTCACTTGCCCCTATCCCGCTCAAGGCATCTTTATCCATCACTTACCTGCACAATCCCACACAAACAAGAAAATTCATACAATCCCCCATCGGGGGTCAACACATAGCCCTTCCCACATGCCTATTCTTTCAAGTCCTTTGGCTGCTCATTGTTCCCTCTTGTTGTTCAATCAGCCCATTCTCTTCTCATAGTCATGCAGTCAGGGAGATGGTTGAGTCAAACTGAACTCACTTTCAACTTATGCTTTCTTCCGGATTCCGCCTCTCCAACTTCATTTTTTGGATGTCCTCTCTCTTGCCTTCTTGGTGGCACAAGGGACTGGTTACCCTTCTCTTGTCCTCTTTCTCCACCAAGTGAGGTCTGATTTCGTTCTCCGCTCGTGCCCTGGCAATGTTTTCCAAGTGAGGGGGGAGAAGGGTTAGTCATATGCTAAGTGGGGGGAAGGGAGAGAGGGTTAGATGATGATGCGAGAGAGAACCAGAAACGGCAAGGGGGGGGAAAGGAGAGAGGGGGAAAGACGGGGGGAGAGAGAGAAGGGAAAGGGATAGGGGGAAAGCGAGAGAAGGAAGGAAAGATAGATAGATAAATAGATAGATAGATAGATA